GGCAACTACTATGAAACAGACCAGTTATATCCAATGATATTACAGGCGCGTAGCAATGTCATTATGATTGGGACAGACATAAAAAGGGGCACATAACCCCCTTTTTACTCCCTCTCCTGTCACGGATGCTACGCCACTACTATGTCATTGTCATGGATAACTGAGCAAACACGGCTTTTGTGAAAGAGGTCAAGATCAGCACTGTGACAAGTTAGTAGCAATAGAAAGTAGGTGATAGGGACAATTATAAGGTGCTTCATTGAAGGATACGACCCGATCACCTGCTTGAAGTGGTAAAAAAGTTTCTTCCTCACTGTTTTGAAATTGTGTTAATACAATTCTGTCTTTCCTTCCATCTTTCTGTCTTTCCTTCTTTTTTTCTGGACAATAATTCTCCACGGGTATTCTTCTAAACGGTTTATCTATGAACTTGTAACTTTGAACCAACATCAACCCTGATTCAAAGGTGTGCATATTACTTCTCCGTCATGAAATTTGCAAGTAATTTTTGTTGAAAAATTGACAGAAAATTTGATCAAATATGTTTATACTTTATAATCGGATAGACCATTATTTGATAATCGTTTATTGTCGCGTACGTGAAATCGCTTGACATTTACTTGCGAAGCTACCGGAAGGTCAAAGTTATTGTTCATTTAAAATATGACAGAAGCCTCAAAATCAAAACCAGCCTAATTCCTTCAAAACGATTCATGCATGGATGATGATAAAATCTTGTAGAAACTTGAACCCCTGTCCAAAGATATGTAAAATGTTGTGACGTAATCATGACGTCACACATTGCCTCGGGCAATATTTTGGATTCCCTGGCACAAAGCCCACTGTTTGACCTTTTGACTTCCGATGTTTACGGAGGTGCAATGAAAATGTAAGCATTTTAGTACACACAAACACATTATGGAAGTGCTTAGTGAGGAATGTCAACACAACTTTGTAAATGAATTTTCTATAAACACAGCCAATTACTTACGTAGTTTCGTTTACGTTTCGACTAGTTTCACTAGATCAAATTCATCATTTTGATCCGTGTCAAGTGACTTATTTTCATAGCACAAGTAATGATATCCGGTACAATGTTGACCTTCGGCTTTCAAATTCTGTGACGTCATCAAACTGCAAATTAGGTGTTATTTATACATAAACACACTAAAACATCCATTATAATTTCCATAAATGTATTTTCAGAATTTACTTTCACTTCTTGATGAACTAAGTCTATATTTACTTTGCACATTGTAACTGATGACATCATTAAACATGAATTAAGGTGATGTTTCCTACGTACGTGTGAATAAAAATGTGTACTGAGATGTATCGATCCCAAAAGATGCTTTTCATATATTATTTAAAGAAATTGTTCCACTGGAAAAGCTGAATTTCGTGATCCTTTTTCTGTTGTGACCAAACATAAATTCACAACTTTAATAAGTCGAGAATGGCAGAGGTATTCACAGCAGTTCCAACCAGGATTCTTTCTTCACTGGTTTTCTAATCCACTCAATGTAACGCCGCAATGGACCTTTATGCACACATGCGCATATAATGAACCTGGCGGCAAGAAGCGCAAGCTGTCCATTGAAAATGTACAGAGGTCCAGATATTCGGGGCATTTTCTTTTAATTTCTCCGGGATTTGTCGCTTTTTGTATTGAGAAAAGCCCCTAAAATTGTCATAGGCATCACTTTTAGGCGTCACTGAAGCCCGTGCCGGTGAAACCCGGCGCATTTGATCTGCTTTCAGATACTTTTTCATTTTTCATTTGGTTATAATCGCTTAAAATGTAATAACTTGCAGCTGTAAACATTCACCATTATGGGGAAAAATATGGTGTTTGGCAAATATAACTTTAGTCTGATAACTCGAATCTTTGTTTACCGGAAGTATCAAATGATTTAACTTTATAACGTTTGCGGCACGTTTCACTCAATTACTTATAAAACAATGTAGGCCTGTTGATATATTTTCCGCCCTACCGAGATCCGCCTTGTCAAACTAAAAGTAGTCTTGAACACAACAAAATGATAACGCCAAATAACATTTTTGCACTGAATATTAACTTGTGCTTTTGGATTGCAGTATCGCATTATCTAATGTACATAAACATGATGTATTGCATGGTTGCTTATAAAAAAAAACTTATAAAGGCATGCTGTTGAAAGACAATGGTTCTTAATTACAGACACCTCATTCAATTTGATTGAAATGTTCCGCTTTAATTAATGTGTCCTCTTGTAAATACAAATTTAACGATAGTTTTCTGCTAAAATTCAAGTGATAAAATTAAAGGGAATATACATCATTTGCTTTTGCTGTAATTTTCAGAAATTGATGGAATTGGGGGGTTGGAAATATATAGCAAATATAGTTACACTGACTTTTTTGAGGTTTTGGGTTCGAAAATGCTATAAAAACCAAGAAAAACAATCATTTTCCTGTAGTCTGGTTCCCTGACTCCATATAAGAAGAAACAGAGCAGTTTACATACATTGGGGAATTGTAAGGTCAGGAAACCAGTCTAGCTGGCTCGTACCCGTTCATAGGTTTTTAATCGATTGCAAACAAGTGCGATGGTCAATTGGGGCCAGTATTTGAAAAAAAACCAGTTTTTTCCAACGCTGATCGGCCGATCAGCGTTGGAAATTGATACAAAAATACCACTTTTCCTGAAAATGACAGTATACCAGGTGCCATGATTTTACAGGATGCTTTACACTGTCATTCACTAACTGTCCAGCAAGGTATTTCAAAATGATTTGGTAGTTTTATTTTTGATGTTTGCAAATGTTGTATTTTCCCTTTAAGTATCACCATACAAGGAATATTGATAATCAGACGACAGTTCTAACACTGTAAATATTACTTATAAATTGTTTAACCTCTTTGGCCATGTGTTTACAAGAACGTAGTCGTGCTTTACACATGGATCATTCTATACATTTTGGGTCTACTTTTTTCTTTCTCTATTACATGCGACATCTATGACTTCTAAATGTAGTGATTCTCCAAGAGTGATTGTGAATAGCAAACAACCAACCAAACAAATTAAAAAAAAAAATGATGTCATTCTTAATGATACTTGAATAGCAAAGTACTAAGGTGACAGGGACAGGAAAAATGTCACACTTTGCACCCTAAATTTATAGAGTGAACCACAACTTATCTTCTGCTTACGGAAACACTCTCAGTTGCTTTCGTCAGAGTGGTCGAGTTCAAAGCTGTCATGATTTTTTGTCATTTTGTGTTAATTATGGGACTACCAATCCTGGTATTTTATGTGGGACTACCATCATGGATTGATAAGTCAGACCCAGAGTGAGCCTGTCTCATTTTATTGTGCATCTTCCTATGCGTTTAATGTTTTGATGTCTTGATTTTAATTGTGGGATTACCATTATTTATTTTACATTAATTTTCAATACGGGACAAACTTCATGGATTGATAGTCAGGCCCAGAGTTAGCCTGTTCAGGGGCGGATCCAGGAATTTTTGTTCATCAGCAAAACATTCTTACTGGAATGTAGACAGGGTTTTTTTTTTCTCCGGACACTTCCCCCCCCCCCCCCCCCGATAAATAATAAAAGGTTGGGGGGGGGGGTTAAACCCCCCAGGATCCGCGCCTGCCTGTTTCATCTTGTGGGTTTGAGGTTTTTTTTTAATTTAACGTTTTGACGACTTTATTCTTATGCAATTTTTTTTTTATTTTTACATTTTTATTGTAAATAATAATCAATGTATCCATCCGTCTATGGCGCTTGCGCAGTTGGATGTTGTGTGAAATAAATAAATAAAAAAACAATTTAAGAACCACACGCAAGCCTGACGATACGCAATGCTCTGAATTAGACAAGCGATATTCTGATTTATGTAAGTGTTTATGCCAAAATCAAACGAACCTGAGACGATGAGGTTAGCTAACAATTTATGACCAGGAATGTAGCCTTTAATGTTTTTCGTCAAAAAGGGCCGAATTCTAGCTGATCCAAACACAGCTTGCTTGCCCAATTCCAAGCATACATTATGATCATTTACATAGGCGTTTGTATATGGGACCATTCCATGATTTCAGTTGTGCTATATTTTTGTTTTACTTATGGATTCAGTAATTGATTGGAACATTGCATGAACGCACTAAATCATACACATGTTTCTCTCTAACGACCTCTGATTAGAACTACCGACGCCAAAATGGCACGCCAAAAATAACCTCCACTGCATTAAATTTTAATTTCAACACGCTCTAGAATTCCCCCTTTTTGGTCTATACAACTTTTAATTAGCGGTTTTGATTTAGAAAGCAAATTGTGTGGGTAAATAAAAGACTCAAACTTCGCAATTGAATTTGTTTCTTTATTTTCTGCGTAGCTGACAAAAAAGTGACAAAACCTGTTTATTTTCTGTCACCTCTGCCTGCTAAAATGACTGAAGTTACTGATAATTAATTTAATGTGTATCTGTAGGCCTACACCACAATAACTACAAACTCGTATGTTTGAAAACGCATCATCGTATGCTATCGTAAGAAACTGAATGCTCATTTCAAAGTTTGCTTTCAAGTCGGCGTTTTCTAGCCCAATACTCAAAACGAGCCGAATTAAAGTAAACAGCTTCTACCTGCATGCATGGATCGTGTTTCAACAAAACATTATACTGGTAAACAAATAACACATTCCGCGGCGTCAAACAAACAACAAATTCTCTTCATAACACCTCGCCGATGCATAAATGTCACGGACGTGCTTCAATTTTATACTTTTTGTCCAGACAACCAAAAAATGTATGTTTGTTCGAAATTCGGGTACGGTCATCGATCGACAGGCGAGGATTAATTAGTTTCGCAATTAGTGTACTTATGTTTAATTACTTTAGTAAAACAATTGTTTACTTGGGTAGCAGAAAGGTATAAAAGCCACTCAAAATCGCAGTGCCACACTAGATTGGGACTTCGTATTTTAGGCACGATCTAATTTGCGATGCTAACCATGAAGTTGTGCGTTCTTCTTGGAGCGGTTCTGGCGGTCTGCCACTTGGTGGCTGGCCGTAGCAAAGACTACAGAATGGCGAAGGTAATTTTTGATACTTTTTTGGTTTAGAGTAGGCTATAGATTGACTTGAAGATACCTATTGTGGCTTTTTACTGGCTTGTGTATGATACTAAATATGACGGTAATTATCATGCGAGCTCCAGTGGCGTAGCCAGGATTCTCATCCGGGGGGGGGGGGGGGGGGGCGGGGGCGAGTGGGGGAGCTGAATGTTACAATGGAGGGGCGCCCAATTTCCTCCGTGCTGAAAGGTAGACAGGTTTTTTTCACCAGACACCCGCCCTCCGTAAAATAAAATAGGTGGGGGGGTGGACACTATGGCGCTGTTCAAAACCGATATCATGGTAAATGTCAGACAATAGTTAGCGCTATTATTTCCGCGGCACGTTCAAATAAACAGCCACTCGCGGAAAACATGGTTTTGATCGGGAGAGGGGGGGGTAGCGGATTTTTAGGGGGGGTAGGGGTGTGCCCCCCGGGTCCCTGGCAGCTACGCAGCTGGCGAGCTCCTTCATAATTGTTTTCGGTTGCAATAATGGGCAAGTTCGCGCAAGAACTATTGTTGACCAATGGTTAACCACACTTCGACTAAAGTTAGCCCGAACTCTGTCTAGTCGACGGTGGTTGACTACGGTAGTCGACTATTTAGAACCAGCCTACCGCGTCTGGTCGCGCAACAATTAAGCTGGTTATCAATAGCAATTTCCATAGCATAGTGCAGAGGGGACCAACTATCACCAAAAAGGGCGGAAAACGAAACTGTGAGCGCTAAATTTCATTTTCATTGCACAGTTTTTCCATGTTAGTTTACGATTATGACTTTTGTCACCATATTGTACAATAGTATTGGCGATTATGTAAGATGTCCTTAACTATACACATTCAAATAATTTGTGTAAATGAAGAGAAACAAGAGTTGAATAATTGTGCGACGGCAATTTTCTCGACGGTCGTTGACATGACAAGCAGTAGTTCCACTAGAGTCGTTCGCACTTTAACTTCAGTGCGCATGTGCTAGGTACGTCACGAACCAACCACTAGTTAACCATTGGTCCTTGCTTGAACTTGCCAAATGTTGATTGACTTCTTTGAAATTGTTTTTTATTAACACTCTTTGAAGCCGTTATTTAGATATGTTTTCAAATCGGTGCTTTTGAACAGTTAGGATCACAACTCGAAAGTGAACGATGGTATCATATCAGCTTTGCTTGAAAAGTCTTCATTCGTAAGCCTAATGTTTCGTATCCATTCAACAAATATTTTCCTGTCAAACAGTCGATTTCAAATAAAGAGTTTCCTTCAATCTTCTGCCATAGCTCAATGCGATGAATATTTTATCCACTCGCGAGCATCAAATGTGATAAATTGTAGATATGCATGCAGCACTGAAACATACCTATCTATAATTAGCCATTTTTATACGCGATCTTTAACATCATGTTTTTATTTTCTTGTTTTCTTTCAGGGAAAAGTTCTCCAAGAGCTCCACGGGACCGGGTCCGTTCGGCCCGAGCCGGCGGAGGAGATCGACGACACGGTGGGTGCGTTCCAGTCGGACATGCTACTGACTCCCAAACAGATGCAGGAAGTAATGGAGCTGATCGAAGAGGGCAAGTCTGGAGTCGACAAGCGGAAAGCCGTCGCCTACCTGAGCTACCGATGGCCACAGAACATGGTGCCTTATGAGTTTGATTCTTCCTCAGGTAGGCTACACAAAGACTCAGGGGTCGGATTTGACCCGGACCTGACAATTATTTTCATGGTCAAAATCGACACTTTCCGGGTCAAGATGACACTTTTGCCAAGGTTTCCGGGTCAGAATGACCCGGAAAATGTGACAAAGAGGTGTCATTTTGACCTGGGAAATTGTCAATTTTGGCCCTAACTTCGGGAAAATAGAACACTAGCCTTGACGAAGCCTGTCAAGCCAAGCTTTTTCCTTGAACAAACGGTCCGGCAGCCGTTTTCACGGCACGTTGTCATGGCACACGTACGCCGCTCCCAGGCCCAGCTGGCAAGCTCCGCATTGCCTGTGCGATACGCCCCAGACACAAATCCGCACTGCACACGGACATACAGTATAATACATGTATACAGTAACCATGCCGTGGGAGTCACACGGAAGACCGCCTCGACTGCGGCCGCGTAATGGTTACTGCATGGGATGTACTTAGTACGTACGTACGTAAGGGCCCTGTCACACTTCTGCGTATCCTAATTCCTTATGAGTTGCGCATTGACATTTTTTTCATACGCAGTCGTACGCACAATACGCACCTCATATGCATCTCTATCGTTTTGTGTAGGTTTTATGTACGCAGATATACGCATGGTACGGCCCAGTACGCAGGATAGTTTTGGGCATGCACAAAACTACGCTGCGTGCGCTGTTGCGCAGGTCATAAGTTATAGATACGCAGCGCATCGGTCCCGCATCGGTTGAGTGCGTTACGAGTGCGCTATGTGTTTGTGACGCACCCCGTCAGCATATGAGCCGCCTGTATACATAGCGTACTTGCAGCGCAGATGCAACGCACGCTGAACGGCGAGCGGCGGAAATGCGGCGGGAATACGCTCAGAAATGCGTCAAGCATGCGGACGGCATAAGTCGAGTGCGTCCGGAATACGCTCGGCATGCGCACTGCATACTGACCTATTCGAAGCCCGAACAATAATGTTGCGCACTGCATACGCAACTCATACGCATCTCATACGCAATGGATGCGCTGAATTCGTTACTTGTACGCTAGATGTGCGTCGCACATAAGTCAAAGTGATCAAAACATTTCGACGTTAATTGAGCGTACGGCTGCGTATTGAAATGTTTGATAAGGAACTCATAAGGAATTAAGAAACGCAAAGGTGTGACAGGGGCTTAAGTACTGTATACGTACGTACTGGCAAAGTGCGCGGCGTACGTGTGCCGTGACAAGTAGGGTAAAACGGCTGCCGGACCGTTTGTTCAGGGAAAAAGATTGGCTTGACAGCCTTGGTCAAGGCTAATAGAACACGGATTCTGGGTCAAACTGACATGGGACTTTTTAGGATCATTTAGGATCATTTGCATTTATCCCAAAAGTAACCTACCGAGTTATCATAAAAATAAACTTACTCGCATTAAAGATCGTACTGGTACTAAACACCCCGTGATTTTTTCCCGTCTGGCTTGCTGTTATTTAAAAGAAATTAACAAATAGGTGATTTCCAACGATTGGTCAACTAACCGATTTTTTTTTTAAATAAAGAGTGCTATTAACGAAAGCGTGTTTCGTATGCATAAGCTTGTGCATGGTTTTCTCAAAAATTGTAATATCCACTGAGCTGAAACTTGTTGGTTTTTGAACCTTCTCCTTTGGTTTTGAGTAGAGTTATTATTGAAGACGAATAAAATGCATGAAAAGTAAACGATCATCTATGCCTTTAAAGCTATAGTCCATTATTTGCAGCCATCCGAAAAAGTAACTGGCGTATTATTGTTGAAAAACATACTTGGTTGAAAGATAGTAAGTGGACTAAACTCCCTGTGAAATTAATCTTTCTGGCAAGCTATCATTTTGAAGTTATCAACGAAAGAAGGCCTTTCCAACGGTGAGTCTTAAGACGCACCGTAGGAAAATTTAAATTAGTAGTTCGTTTTGTTATTCGGCGCAGCGCGCGCAAGCATTGGCACGACGCACAGGCACGCGCGGTTACAATAATTCGTCGGATCAGTGCGCGACATCGCGTATAGCTGCAATTCAAAACAATTCAAAACTTTTGATTCAGCAATTTTTGATTTGAAATTGAGATCCTAGAATGCTGTTTTTCTCGGAATATACAGCTGAAGCTGAGCTGAAACTTCATCAGGTTAGTTGTTCAATATCCTTCATTAGATTTTGAACACTTTTGTTGCTTCAAACGAACAAAATGCACAAATACAAAATAATGATGGACTATATCTTTAAATGAGTTGGAAGTCGCCCGAGTTACTTTCACATGTTCAACCCGCTATTATTTAGTTTGGAAAGGTAAACACGACGTTTGAAAACAGAACCACCACAGAAACATGTCCTTTTACTTTGCAGGCCGTTAAAAATGTTCATGTTTACCACGTGCTCTCCGTATTCATAAGGATGTTAAACTGAGCATCAATAAAACACAGTTTTCAATACATCCCAGTCCGTCGGTTCGTTTTTGTTTTGTTCGTTTTTTCTGTCCTGTTCCGTTCTCTGTCTTTCGTGTACGATCAGATAATTGTTATTCTTGCATTGTATCGAATATCTTTCATATATTGATCTTTTGTATAATTACCTGAATGAACACTTTGCAATATGGAAATAATATGTTGAGATGAATTGAATTGACCGAAAGTTGATGTTTTTGCTAATAGTGAAAAAAAAGCTTTAAAATCCTACACACTTATATATATATATATATATATTATTTAAAAGACAAGGGGGTCCAACACCAAGTGCTGTTTGGGCCTTTTTATGTCTATAGCAGACCCCTTTTATCCACAAAGCAACATTAAAACATCAAGGGGTCCTTGGGTCTTTTTACAGAAACAACTTTGAGCTAAAAGAAGTAGTCTATAATTATGAATTGTGACTATACGCTTTTCCCTATATTTGTCCCAACACACTCAAACACTTTCTTCGTCTGAAAGTTTCCCCTTCTTTATCCCACGAATCCTTTCAGAGGCCGACCGAGACGCCATCATGGCAGGCATGAGTCTGTGGAGCGAAGAGTCTTGTGTTCAATTTGTCCCGTACTCGGCACAGGTTGCCTCAAGTCTGGGCCATGAGAATCGTATCCAGTTCTACAAAGGATCAGGGTCAGTAGTTACTTGATTTGCGGTGTCTTTTATAATATGTATAGCGACTTAGTTGAACATATTGCACAAACTGTGGTACAAATATTCTCTGTATGGCAAGGTGGAATCATTTGCAATCCCTACAACCCGAAAAATTACCTACTGTGATGTAATGACAGAAAGCTTTCTAAAAGTGAAGATAGGTCTGGTAATGATGTCATTGTGAAAAAAAAATGCCAAAATGTTGCAAAGTCATACTAGTTGTTTAAGAACAGGATTTTTTTTATCGAAATGATAATTGGAATGTCTGAAAGAATCTTTGACAATAAAAATTCGACTTTATTTTTCAGTCTCTACATTAGTAATGCTTTGAATTCAACTTCCGCTAAATTGGATTAACAATTTCAACAGGCAATATATTTCGATTGTATCTCGGGCAGTGTTGTAGTCGAGTCACCAACGTCAAGTCCGAGTCTCAGCTCACTCTTTGGTACCGGACATTTTTCTTGGCATGACACCAGGTCCTGGCGCTTGTCGTGCCGGCGCTAGGCGTGCGTGCGCGGCCCCTGGATACGATTTTCCGCGGCGCCTTGTTTTATCTATGGAGTAAAAAAGAATGCTATATACGTTCGTTGCACAAATACGGAACGTTGCGATTTTCTTTTGATGAAAATACGTGACTCAAGGCACGAGTCACCAAGCTCAAGTCCGGGTCATCATGGTCGAGTCCGACACGGAGTCCCAGTCATTTTCCAATTTGACTCGAGTCGAGTCCGAGTCACGAAAATTGTGACTCGAGTCCGACTTGAGTCCGAGTCCTGGACTTCGAGTCTTTACCTACAACACTGACTTCGGGCAAGGATTAAACTTATTCCTGGTAACTTTGAGTGAGTATAGACTAATATGGAAACACTCCTCATGAAGAGACATGATTGAAGATAGATTCAGGGCAACATATTTGTAACGATGAATGCGTAAAAAATCAGGTGTACAACTAATCTCTAAGAGAGAGAAATGACAGAAAGCGGGAACGCCATTGCTGCCGCGCGTTTGGCGCCCATCATTAAACTTTGCTCTACAACTTTTTTCCGCGTCATCAAATTGATCGATGGATAAAGTACTAACAAGCAAACTGGCCCATACAAACATAACTGATCCAATTATTGATTTCTCAATCACAATTTGTCTTTTACCAGCTGTTCATCTTATGTGGGCATGATCGGAGCAGGTGCACAGCAGGTTTCAATTGGAAACGGATGCACAGGAGTGAGTACAATATTCTATTTGTACAGCATCACAGGCACGGCGTCGCTGTACAATCACGATGGCCCCCAGTAATGGCGGAAGCATTGTACCAACTGTTCCATGATGATTACTATGAATAATAACCTTGCCAAATGCTTCAGTCATTACTAGCTATACAACTGTCATTACTAGGTGTACAGATTGCAGTAATCGGTTCATTTACATAATTATGCTATTCATTTTAATATTTGGGTACGGTTTTACTTTTACCAATTAAGAACACAACTTGTAAAGAATTATTTTTCTCTACATTTTATTCATAGACCTCATCCGTAGCACCGATGCTAGAGGGCAATGCCTTTGTTTTGCTGGTATATGAATGAGTGAACCTCTAGTGCATTCATTGATAAAGATTTAAAATAACAAAAGATGCACGTTAAGATGGCCACAACGCATAATGTCTATTGAAGATATAAGTCGCTATTAATTTCCTGAAATTAAATTGGAATCTATAATTGAAAGCCTCACGATCAGCGTTGTTTCCACAACGAGTTCTTCTACCGTTCTCAAAAACTAGAGCAAACAAGTCAGAATTTTGACAATTTGGTTTTAAGAATACAACAAAGTGGCTGGCATGGCTTTCATTGAAAACGTCTATTTTTTCAAACTCCGCAGGCAGGTACTATTGCCCACGAGATCGGGCATGCGCTCGGCTGGCATCACGAGCAATCCCGGCCGGACAGAGACGAGGCGGTCACTATCAACTATGACAACGTGCAGCCTGGCAGGGAGATCAACTTCGCCAAGTATTCCACTGCGCAGATCAGCACCCATGACGTGCCCTATGACATCAGCTCCATCATGCATTACGGCAGTGGGGTGAGTTATCATGCCCTGATGGGGTCAATTTCATGGAGCTGAATTTGTACAGAAAGTATCTTTAGCTTGAATGATTTTGTTAAATATAGGCCTACAGGTAAACCAGCCACCTTGTTTTGCATTTATGGTGACAGGTTCCCTAAATTAATTTGAGTATTAGGATCATTTGCATTTATCCCAAAAGTACCGAATTATTATCGTAAAGCTTACATGAATTAAGGTTGGTACTAAACACCCCATGAATTTTTCCGTCTGGCTTGCTGTCGTTTAGAGGAATTCTGAAATGTAGGTGATTTCCAACTATCAGTTGAAAATAAAGAGAGCTAAAGACTAATAGCGTTTCTTGATCGGAAATTTTGCATGATTTTTTCACTGTTTTCTCGACATTTCAATATGCACTGAGCTGAAACTTCGACAGGTTAGGTTTTGAACTTTCTTCTTTGGAAAGTGAGTTGTGTTATTGCTGGAAACGAACAAAATACATAGAACGCAATTGATCCTATGTCTTTAAGCATTAGTTTCTGCTTAGTGGCTCAAAACTGAGCCAAGATGCATCACTGCGCTAAATGTATAGCATACAACTGTCACAACAGCCTAAGGTGATGTTTCAATAATCAAGAAGTCGGCTTTTGTTCGCAATGGAATAGTATTTCGCAGGGACTTAATATATAAGTGATTACTTGAAATTGGAGGTTGATTTAATGCCTGGTTTCTACAAACAGTACATGTAGTTTTGTGTAGAAATAAACGGGGGAACTCAGCACTAGCCATTACAAAAGTTCTTCTTTTCGAACATTAGTGTTTGACGATGGTACTGGCGAAGGTCAACTTTTCTCTTTTTTTCATTTGTTACTTATGCATATATCGCGTCACCATAGTTTTTTGGGGGTATTGTCTATCATATTGGTCCTTGTTACTCTAAAAACAATTGTCGTTTAACTCCTCAGTATTTCAGCGCTAATGGGGAGCCTACTATCGTGGCTCTTGATCCTGTCGACCAATTCCTGATGGGAAACAGGGCCGACTTCAGTTTCTATGACATGAAACTGGCTAACATCATGTTTGGCTGTAGTGGTGAGTGTTTATACTGGTAATGATATGGATAATGTTCAATTGATAAAAATATGACATCAGACACAAGGACTGTTGAGCCACAATTTCAACTAACATGGTGGGCCTGCTTTGGGTGGATCCGGCAATCAGACTAGATGGGGCTAGACATTTAATCAGTATCCAGACACTTTTCCCGGTCACGGACAAAAAGAGATTTAAAAAAAAAATGGGAAGTTGGAACCATGGTACTGTAGCGCTCCGTACATAATGCGGAAGAGACTGAACAACTGACTTTAGGTGACGCCGTTTGCCAATGCGGGTATGGGGTAAAACGGGCCGAAGAGGAGTTTTTTTTAATTATTTTTGTATATTTATAATCTTTCAGCCATTGTCGATCCACTGCAGGATAAAGGCCTCAGCATATAGATCTCCAAATGTCTCTATTTTGTGCTTGATGGTACCAATTGACTTTCCTCGTATTATTGCAGCTCGTCTCCCCATCTTTTTTTTCTCTGGCGCCCTCTATTTCGTTTGTTCTCATACGGTGTCCAGTGATTGATTGTTGAACTCCAATGGTTATGTTTTTTTCTGTCCTTGTGGGTGATCTTTATCACACTTCTTTTCCATATTGTGTTCAGCTGCTGCTAGTTTTCTTTCCATTTTTTGAAGTAAGTGTCCAGGTTAAAGCTCCGTATGAAATAGCCGGGAGGTATTTTCTTTTCAGGCAAATTGGGAGGTTGCCTTTCATGATGGTGCTGTATCTTCCATAGGCTTGCCATCCAGCTTTGATTCTTCTTCGTATTTCGTTGTTTAAGAGATTCTTGATGAGGGGGTGGGGAGAGGCTAGGTACTGGCAGGGAAAGGCTTACACACTCGGCTTTCCTTTTCACCTTGCGATTAGCCAGCGGCAGCGGTTGATAGCAAAGATTATTGTAAGCACTATGCTAAAGCTACCTCTGCCTACTACTGCGCTAGTGGCAAGCTCTCCAAATGAATTGTGATAGTGGCACCAAACCCTGTTGCTTGTGACTTGACTTGTTATTGACTGGGATCTTGTCAAATGACTTGTGCTATGCCTGTATTTTACGCGATTAAAATCTGCCTGCAGGTTAAATCAGAATAATATTCATTTTAATGTTTATGTTCATTTTTGTCATCGACAGATCATTGTAACACCAATCTGCAATGCCAAAATGAGGGATACATCGGAAAGGACTGCACTTGTGTCTGCAAGCCTGGTTACAGCGGAACCCACTGTGAATCGTTCAATCCGGATAGCTTGGGTTAGTTACCTTTCACTTTGTGACCAGCTTATTGCAAATGAACATGTAAAAAAGTAAATTTCGGTTAATTGAAACGTTTAATCACCTTTTGGTACTAATGCCTTTTGTTGAGAGCTGTCACGTTTTCAAAACATGTGTCTTAACGTCGAATGGTTTACATGGTGAAGGTTTTCGGATATAGAAATAAGAAAAATGCTAACTGTTATGAAACAATGTTCAATGCGTATAAGATATAAAGGCATAATTGTGTTTTAGTATAGTTTATCAAGAATTCCGACCGGAGAAAAATGTCATTGTGCATCAGACTATCCCTAAAACCCTCCTTTGAGCAAAGTAACAATAGTTTTGCACACGTACAAAATCGGTTTGTATCTGGGATGGGCAAGCTAAGTTGTATTTCATGTACATTTGTTGTATTTATGAAGACACAGTGGGAAAACGATTAAAACTTAAAGCACATCAGTCAGCAACATTATACATGTACACGATGTATATCTTTAGAACATATATCTTCGCTTTGGGAAAACGTCGTGTAAAAAGTCCCGTTTTTCAACTATTTTATATATTGGTTTTTATTCCAGGATGCATCCGCAAGATGACTGCTTTAACTGGTACCCTGGAATCATCCGGATATCCGGCACAATATCAAAATAATGCGGTCTGCGCTTGGCAAATCATGGTACCTTAAACGATCGATTATTGCAAATACTTAATACATGTCCCTCGACAGCGAATTGTTTGAAGTAAACCGACTGTTTTGGGGTAACAGTATGTTATTAGACGGAACAGTGCAAAAGACACTTTGTACAATTCTATCAATGTTCAAAATACGATTTTTGGGCAGTATTTCGGAAGGTCATTCGACCACTTTTAAACGCGCTTTAAGAAACAATTTTTTGATTATAGTAATGAAATAAGATACTATATTTTTATTCGTTATACTCTCATGGGATCTCGTCACAAAACTAACTGCCACTCAACTACAAACAAGAACTGAAGAAGCTAGTTAAAGAGAGAAAAGGGATCTATTGATATTCAAACTCTTTCAAACCAAGAGTTAGTTTGCAACCTTTCTCGAAAAAAAGGAACACATATTTGAGGCACATGATTTGGATGTTTCGTTCTCTCTGTTAGGGTGGGGCAGGTTCCACCATCTCGCTATCTTTTGAAGCATTTAGTTTGGAGACTGATGCGACCTGTCGCTATGATAAGCTGACTGTACGCGCAGGCACTGACATCTCTACCGGCGGACAAGTGTGAGTGCATTTGAGTGTCTTTGATATAACATTAATGGACTTGATTGAGTAACTTGATTCAATAACTTGTACGTCAGTATTACGAGTTTTGGTATACTCTACCAAAGGCAAGGCAAACAAACCAAACATTTTGTTTTTCTTTCAAGCATAAACAGCCAAGCCCATCCGTGCTTTGATTAAGACGAGCCAAGCCAAGCTGAGCCAAGCCGAGCAAGAACAATTTTATAACGGTTGTGATTTTGTTTATTATTTAAAAACAAACTTTATTTTCACAGGTTCTGTGGTACCACCATCCCGCCAGAAATCGAGTCAGTCGGTAACCAGATGTTGGTGATTTTCTCCTCTGATAATATCATCACTGCGCCAGGATTCCAGGCCAACTACGTCATCCATGGCAACACCGTAGCAACCAATGCCCCGCCCCCTCCTTTTCCAGCCATAACCACCAAGCAACCAGCTGTGGCCACTACTCGTGCCCCTACAAATTGTGGTAAGAATTTTGTGTCTTTTCATTTTACTAAGATAAACAAACAACAGCATTAAATGACTAATAATATACTTAAACTATATACTACAAAAACTACATCTTCAACACAAATTATAAATTTATCAAATTTGGGGCAATCCAATTGTCTCAAGAACAATCTCTGGGATAAGTGCAGATGATTTGAACCTCCACGTTGCTTTCTGTGCCGATTGTATTTCCCAAGAGGTGATTCCTGGTACATGTGGAGGCACTTATGGCAATGCTGGCTGCATCGCGTCTCCGAACTATGGCGAAGGTACTTACAACAGCGATGAAGAGTGCATCTACAACATCGAGGTACGCCCTACGCCATTCAGGCGACTGTCTTCAACTTCAACTTTTCACTTGTTAACAAATATAGAAAGCTACTTTCTATGGCCGTCAAAAAAATACCTAAATTGCGTTGTGTGCGTTGTAACTATCTTGTACCACATACACCACTTACTGTATAACACTTACAAGATATGCATCTTGCGGGTAACGATGTACTGCCCATGCTCTTCAACGAGTTCCTTTTTTTTTCTCGAGTGGTTGGTTTTATTTAACAAACAAAAAACTTTGGGGATCTCCGACATCCTCTGAAAAAGACTTTTATTTTGAGTTTCTTTTGCGCACATAATCAGACGAGAACTAAATTACTGTCTGACCGCTAATAATTCGCAATTAGTTAAGACATTATTCCATAACTATATGTGGGCTGATTTTTCATTCAAAAATAAATAACGTTTGTATTTCTAGCAAAATAGCCACTTAAGAAAATCTACTTTTTGGGGTGAATCTCTAAAATATCGCGGACTGTACATCTCTAAATCCCCAATGTAATTCCAAGTTATACACAGACTTGCGATGAGACTTGTGCTTCACTTGGGATAACGACTCCCTTTAATTTAATCTCTGAATCCGCTCTGCGGTATAGGTGCCTTCTGATCAGCGTGTTGAGTTGAACTTGATGGATTTAGACATCGAGGAGCAGAGCTCCTGCGCCTGGGACAGGCTGGAGATCGACTTGGGAAGTGACTTCATCGGTACCTTGAAGTAAGAATGTGTGTCTGTCCGTCTGTCACTGACTTTTACAGCAAAACGTGGCCCCTGGTGGCGCTTTGTGCAAGGGGTATATGAATAGTTTAATAACCTTTCTTAAGGCTGGTTCAAATTTCACACGAATGCAAAGCAAAGTTAACGGCACGGGACATTCGGGGCGAAAATCGAAAGTTTAAATTTGCTGGTGATTTTGTTGGCGAATTCCATGCGTGAATACATGCTTCCGTTACGTCATAAGAATGAAACGGCCTTTGAACAGTTAATTTAGGCAAAACCTGAACAGATAATTCATTGCAAGTCTATAATTTCTGCTTTGTGGAATCCTGTAACAACATGTTTATGTTTTGTTAAAAGAAACTGTTAGCCAAAACATACTCTTTAATATATGCTCCTATAATAGCAAATTTCCGGCTGCCAACACATTTAATAACAACAATAACAATTTAGGTCTATTTGCACACATTCATGGTACAAGATACAGAGCTAAATAAACACAACTATATATTTATATTTTAAATTACAACTAAAAACAAAGAAATATAAAAATTAATTGACATAGATAGCAGAAATTATTTCGATGACATCAGTGCCATTAAAAATTCCACATTCAACAACGTCGTCTCTAACATCAATCATAATATCCCTAAGGACAGACACATTTGATTTCACATTTAAAGGTACGTTATTATTCCATGCTTTTCGGGAATCCTTCAGTTCAATACAATTTGACGTTCCGAGCTAAATTATCGATTTATTTTACTTTTTTGACAGGCTGTGTGGAAGCAATCGCCCAACCGGATCTATTGTTTCCATGACAAACAAGATGCAAATTCGCCTGATCAGTGACAGTTACGTCAACAAGAAAGGCTTTGCAGCTGCGTACAAGGCGGTCTCCATCTCTTAAAAGGCAGTCGTTTGGATGGACATCAAAAATGAGTATTAATTGGCTTATAATCGCGTAAAAGAAAAGTCGCAATTTCAATTTTGATTCTTGATTCCTATATTTATTGCTGCCTGTGCATCCATAGGCTAAAAATCTGTTTTTGACTTTCTTTTTATGAAATAGAAGAAAGTAGCAAGCTTACAAAATAATATCACTTGCGCTTTAGTCGAATATTGCCTTGCGTGATTAGTTGCCATTACCAATGATTTTGCTCAAAGATTAATGTTAAAAACTATTCGCTAGCAATAATGTAAAAAAAAAATCATATAATTATTCGTGTGAAAAAGCGGGATTATAAAACAACAACACACGACCGAGGTTCTAAATTTTAACCCCTTTTCTGAACACCTGTTTGTGTGCATGCGTAAAAGAAGCATCACAATATTGAAAGTATTTTTATCAATTAATTTAAGATAATCATTTCTCTTTCTGGATGAGTTTGTAATTGGCCGATGTAATTTACAACAATTATTGGGTGGTTAGATTGCAGGTTTATAACTTAAAATTTCACACTTTAGAAGAGATTTCGCGTTTTCTTAGTGAATCATGGCGCTGAGATCTCTTAACGAAAGTAAAGACAGGGAAATTTGCAGACGTCTCTTGGTTATTGACTATAAAACAAGGATGGAAAAAAGCCCGCCGAAGCTGCTATACCGCGCTTCTCTGTCATGACATCTCTTCAAAAATATTCAACAATGCGACTTTGGAGTCTCCTGTTTTACATGATTTATATGATTATAATAAGTTAAATAATGATTATCATTCTTTCAAAGTATTAAAAAAAGATAAGTCTCAAGCGTGAGATGCTTCAAGATTTCTCATCACGTGTTCTATTTAAAAAGAATTGAAGAAGAAAAGAAAAGCATGTGCAATAAAACATCAGGTATGGATATGCGTCAAACGTTTCGCATTGTCGTGTCGAATGCAATTCGTCCGATGCAGCAAAAGCGCCACAGGAGTAAGAGTTGGTGTCAAAGTACGTCGAATTTAATCAATCACAGAATATATACTCGCAGTTGCTCATACGGACAAAATGGCCGAAAGAATAAGGTACTATATGTATTCCCCCCCCCCCCCCCCATTTTTAACACTATGAGGGTCACCTTAGGAAGAAGCTTGGGTGTAAGCTTCAGCATCTAATAAAGTTTCATTTTGGGGAGGAGCTTTGTGAATTGGAACACGCCAACCTAATAACGAGCACATTTGATGCACTCAACTTTTCTGCATGAGCTATCTATTGGGGTTCATAATTATTACAAAATCTTTGACATGTATATATGGAAAAAGTGACATATATAAAGAAAAAATGCATAAACTAAGCCAAGGCGTCTCCTTTTATGGAGAATTCAGAGAAACAATGGATATTTGCCAAAAGTAATTTTTAAAATAAAATCCATTGCATGAAACCTTTCATATACCTTTACTGATATCATGCAGCGTAGGTCCCATACCTGCACGTACCCTACCCTTTGTCCAACATGTCTTATTTGTTCTGATACATCATATTTTAGATGAATAATAACTGAAATGTTCACGAACTGATGGCGCGATCAAACAAATTACTTATCAAACTATTTGTTATACTTTGTCCAATATTACGCACGCAATAATTATTTTTTTGTAATTATTTTATTCGCAAATCATCGGTTACTTTCCATTCAGATTCTTCAATCGGGCACAGTTAATCAATTCATTACAGAGAAATTAAACACCTCAGAATACTCTGAAAACAATAATACATTATTGGTTGGTATCTGTGGATCATGTACAATGCAATCAATGTAATAGATATTAATCTTAACTAAACCTCATGATTTCGCTTTAAAGCATGATCACACATACATTATCTTAAAGTTCTTGTGTATTGTCAGTTTTTTGTCTTTAATACCAAAATAGTACATCCTAGTAATGTTTTCATATCATTTGATTAAAGAAAAGACATACGAAAGGTTTGCTTCCCGAGAAGATCATATTTTTCGAAACATTGAGTTGGAAGAGTTTCTTCTCTGATCCACACAAGTTCCATAAATAATTTTGTTGCACCATGATTTCTTTTTAGAACTTGTGTAATTCGGAGAAGAACCTGTTCCAACTCAACGTTTCGAAAAATATGATCTACTCGGGAAGCAAACCTTTCGTATGTCCTTTTTAAAAATCAAATGACATGGTTCAACCGAAACACTGACTCTTATCACTGAGTATTATTTAGTAGCGCAATTCTGTGCCGGGGACTGGGGTGATGGGGAATGAGTAAATAAATAAAAAAAAATGCCCGGCCGTGGAAATACAACAAGTCGGGGGGGGGGGGGTTGCTTGCTGGACAGCACATGACAGTAGGGGGCGCTGTTCATGATACAGATGTACATCTTATGTATACTTTCGTCCCTTAACCTTACATCAAAACGCCGCATTTCAAGCTTTTGTACTTTTTCTCCCCTTTCAGTACTATTGAATACATTTTGGCTGTTGGGAAGTTCGAAAAATACCTCAAAATCCGCCTTTATTTTTGTTTCTCACCACGAAAAAGTGGGGGGGATCCAATAGCCCCCCCCCCCCCCCCGTTCAAAAAGTGGGGGATATATACCCCATCCCCTTCACGGGATTTACGCCCCTGGTATTATTGCAACTATGTATATTCAATTTCAGGGTAAATTTGGCTTACACTATACGACTTCAATAAGAGCCAAATATGAAATAGTCACGATCAGAATGGATACCAGCAGAAACAAGACAAACATTGCCTTGTCAAAGATGCGAGCTACCATCTGCCAGGTAATCCGCTCTTTGGGCCGATGACCGATGTAGGACAGACAGCGGATGTCTGGGACAGGTATGGGCTTGTCCGCTGTATGAAACAGTCGTAGGACGTAGACCAATACGCAGATTGAGGCACACGACTCCACCACCATGCAGAAGATGTACGTAGCTGTCAAAATTCAACAAGAAAAACAGTAATCAACCCCCACAAAGAAGGAAATATGGCTAGAATAACAAGCTATTTTGAATATTTTCAAAATGGTTGCCATTGCTTGTGTTTCTACCTATATTTGTTTCAAAGGACAAATCTGCGATGGCCCTATAGCCAAATATCTTTCTTATGACACACTCTGACTGTGTGCCAAATTCCATGCTTGTATCATCAAATGCACAGTCCCATCACCTATCTGCCGTGCTACATGTATGTCAGAGAGAAGATGGGAAATACTTATGATTCAGTTATTAAAAAGCCTTAAGACATAGCACCCACCCAGCTCCCTTGCTGACAATAAATTACCGAACTCCTGCTCCTAAATAAACTACAACCCGCGTCCGAATCACTTGTTTTTAACAGTTGCAACTATAAGTTGGCACATGCTGACAGAATAATGATCATAATTTGGAGAATTGTATGGGAGTCAAAAACATTAAAAACATCACCTTCATTTGAACCGAATTTCAGAATAACTAACCTATCTTAATCTGAAAATTAAACGTTTCTGTTTAGATTTAAGAAGCATTTAAACCTAGATAACAAAACTTGAATTCAAATTTGTTTGTACCCCACTCAATGGTACAGCTTCGATAGCACCACCACTTTGTTCAAAACTATGGCTGATATTAGGGTGTAAACCAATAAATAAAGGCAGCTTCTCAAGGTGTTTAAGAAATAATCTAATTAAAACTTGATTTATTTGGGGAAGGAGGAGGGTTCCAGACAGTTGCACCTTTTATTGCTACGAACCCTAAAGTGCAAGAGCCATAAAACTCTCTATTAGGAGGAAAATTTTATAATACAAATCGTAAAATGTTCCATGTAGAAAATTTGAGGCTTCTTTACTGCGCGTTTCGCATTCGTCTACATACTGTATTTTGATAAATGGGTACCCTCATTATGTGAACTACCTCAACACAAATTTTTAATATTCTTTATTTTGGGAGAGGGAGGGGTTATTCCCTTTAATCTTGTGCTTAATTCTGAACAAACCTTGTCTTGGATATTAAAATGTCTAAACATCACTGGTTCTCCCTGTTTAATTAAGGTCTCTGATCTTCCATTATACTTCACTGGAAAAAAACTTGTCACACTAAAGGATAAGGTAATTACGCACACTTGTACACAGTTTTTTGAAATTGTGTTAGGCCTTTCCATTAAATTTAAGGTTTAATTAGCGGTCTTCAATTTAGCTAGTTCCTTCCTTTAATGTACATGTAAATTCACTCAGCTGAGGCGATGCGAAACACGACACTGGCGGATCGGGGGAACTGTCCATGATAGTCCGATTTGAACAGCGCCCCCTATATGAAGATGGTGTCCAGTCCACTTCCCAGCTTTTCAATTTAGTGAAGGCGGGTGTCCAGGTCAGACGTCTAAAAGGAGGACCCCCCCCCCCCCCCGGGTAATTTCTAGATGCACTTGTGATTAACGAGGTGTCAAAATCAATTAGAACCAATTTTAAACGAGAGACATATTTTACACCTGTTTCTACGAATGTCACCAGCCGGGTGGGGTTTCCGATGCCTCGGTGCTTTCAGGCCTGTGTGCAGTTGACAGTCCATTATTAGAAAAAATTAAAAACAACGCGGAGAAACACTCGAGAACTAGAAAGCACTCAGAGATCGCAAACCTCCGTCAAGGCTAAACGATTCCCCGCCATATTGTCAGTAAACACCTAAAAGAAATACTCGCATATATGGTGAAGAATCCTTTCAAAAAATTCTGGATCCAGACTCAGATCCGGGATCACTTCCAAAATCTAATCGATTTGTACTTGTACCAAGGGCCACCCCTAAAAAAATCGTCATGCAATCCGTCCATAACTTTTTGAGTTATCTTGTGAAAACATAACCACCTTGGCGGACGACTAATTCAGCAAATAGTCAAGCTTGTATACCGCCCTCTACGGCAAGCCCACAACATCGTGCAACCTGCAAGCACTGTGTGCGGAGCAGGGTGACCGTTTTAGCCGATTTTAGGCTAACATTGACAGATTTTTTTTGTTAAAAAACGAGTTTGACAGAAAATTTGACAGAATCGATTTTTTGGGCAGATTTCTGGCAGAATTCAGCAAAAATGGTTATTTGACAGAAAAACACAGCAAATTTGAAAACAAAATGGTACATTTGTTTAAAAAAGCTTAAATCCTTTCAAACAAACCCTTGCATAATGGGATAGGTTGGCTGGTCTAGGTGCTGAGGTCAAGTCACTGGAACCAGACTTGGTCGTGAAACAACCGTGTTTAGCCTAAAATGTATGCAATTATTTCATAACATGTTTATGGGACTATAGATGGTTTATAATGTAATTTGCACCTTAATTTAGGCAACACTACAAATCTGCATGTGATTTTAAGTGTTTATAGTGTATTTCAAGTAATTCTGGTGAATTTGGCAGATTTTTGATCAATCTGACTGATTTTTTAAGTGCATTTAGCAGAATTTGGCCATGACCTTACGGTCACCCTGGTGCGGAGACCTCTTTCAGTGTTCACGTCTGCGTTATTTATCTTGCGGGACAGCTACTGTTTGAAACACCGCTCAATTAATTAGATTAGTGATTTCCTGCACTTCATCATGAACATGGCTCGTACGGGAATTAAACGTCTCCTCTTGAACCTGGCAACCATTCAACTGGCATGTGGAATAATAGGTGAGTTTGTCGTATTGTCGTTGAGTGGTGTGTGGAGGACAAAAATATTATCTTTGCAAACAACAATAGAGTGAGGGAAACGTTGGTGGAAAAACTGTGAACAAGGAAACGAAAGGGCTTGGCAAAGCGTAACTCACTGATATGCACTATTAATCATATATAGCTATCGAAAGGATTTTGAAGCAGGTCAATATTTCAGCAAAGTCCCATAAAGCTTGTGTAAATGGGAATCACTAAATAAGAAGTAAGAAGCAAAAAATGACATTATAAAAACCTAAAACGAGCCACTTAATTCAGAAGTGAAGACCTGTTTCCAACAATCAAGTTAGGATTGACTTTTAATTAGTTGAAAATAGTTATATAATATCGGATGGCTTTGAGGGGGATACTGTGCCGAGTGGAATGGAACATTTCATCTGTCACCGAATGAAATTATTCTTTCCATAGCACGAACGTGAAACATTCATTATTTGTTTGATATAACGCCTGAAAAAAATCCTGGTCATCTGATTGGTTGACTTTTAATACTGCCAATTTATCAGTTTAAAAACTGTTTAAAAGTTCGACAAGTTCATCATATTAAATTTATGCAAACTGTTTAATAAGCTGAGAACAATCATATTCAATATAAGTGGAGTAGAAAGTTGCGCGAAATATGCTCCAAAGAAAAATCCACTTCATGAACCCTTTAAAATATTCAATAAAAGCCTTGAAAAGCTATAAAAACATTTAAAAAAATTAATACAATTATATTACATTAAAAGGCCGAGGTCGAAATCAATGAGAATAGAATGCTAAGCTCATTATGAAATTCAATAAAACATACGTCAATCAAAATGTGCTGACAAGGTTCGTTTTATGCATTATACCCAGCCCAACATAATAATCTTATAGCCATGCCTCCTATGTTCATCAGTTCGACGCCTTTTGTTGTCAAGGTGAAATTGATAAACGCACCTCCACTGCATCGGCCTACGAAGGCTTATTTAAAGGCATACAGGATGATTTGCCTGTCATTTATTTTGGTCGTTTCCAATAATAACCCAAAAGAAGAAGGTTCAAAACCCAACCTGTTGAAGTTTGAGCTCTGCAGTTGAAACTTTTCGCGAAAACAGTGAAAAACCCTTTCCAAAGGAAATCGATTTGCCATTTTCAAGGGTATTTTGATGCCTTTTGGTTATGCTAATGCAAATCCGCACATTCATGCAAACCTCAATGTTTTTGTTGGAAATGCTAAAATCTTGGTTCGTTGAGTACCAGTACGTTCTTTAATCCATGCAAGCTTGTTGCAAAACCAGTTATCTCCCTGTAAAAACCAAAAATACACAATTTTCCGAACGAATAACATCCTTAAAATAAACCATTTCAATGCTGCACCATTTTTCATATTGTTGATATTCCCCGTTTTCTTTTGCTTTATTTTTTTGGTGTTAAGTTTTCCTTCAAAGAAATTCAATATCGGCATGGTTTGTTTACTTAGCAATGAATGAAATTTCTAATGCACTTTCACAAAGCTCCAAAAGTTATAAGAATTCTCTCGGCCAAGTTGCAAAGTTGAAGTTTGAAAAGAGATATGAAGCTATGACCCAGCATTTTACATTTCTTTCATACCCTCAACGCGGTATCAAATAACCTTGAGGAGAAATTATTCAACCACTAACTGTCGGTGTTACTTTTTTTCAATTGATGTCTCATTTAAAAGTGAACACATTGTATATTGATAAGAACATTGCAATTAAAAAAAAATCTATTTTTCGAGGTTAAACGTGAAAGTAGCATGGAGAACCATCTCTAAGTTCGCATTTTTCCACTGGCGACTTTCTCTCCCTTGTGAACCTCTTCACCTGAGTTTATTCAAACTTTCTCCAACCAAGCTTTACGGAACAGTACCAATCTCCACTCACTGCTGAAACAACATCGAATTGCAAGTCCAAAAAATAAACAGTTCTAAAAATAATACATGGAATAATACCGCATTGACATTATAGATACTTTAAAAAAAGAAAGAAAAACAAACTATGCAAACACCCAATACCGGATACAATACTTTTAAGTTCTATCACTTTCATTTTAAAGCTAGACTAATAGTGTTCAGCACGCACGTCACAATCTTAACTGAATTTGCATTTTTTAAATAATGAGGTACTGTTCTTCTTTAAACGGGAAGTTCGGAAAATAGAAAGTGTTGGTGAAACTCTTTCACTAGTAAATTATGCAGAATATAAAGCTACATAAAACTACACGACGTCAACCGTGTTGGTGCTGAATTAATCGGAAGATCAGAAATATATAACTACACACAGGCCAAACGAAGCCCAATATTCAGGCAACGTCCATACTTGTCCCCGTTGTCCAATTAGGCATTGTTACTGTTTTCTAAATCGCCCTTCAACACCATTATCTGACTTTCAAGTACCATTTTTTTCACGGCCAGTTTTTATTAAAGTGGTTGAGTAATAATAAAGTAAACCTAACTATGGAAACGCGCTTCCTTAAATCCACTCTTTCTCAACCACAAGGCCGTATCCATGGTAACCAATTAATGTCCCTTGACAAAACCAATGAGAGCTGTTGCAAAAAACAAAAAAACAAAAAAGGGAAGAGGAACCATATTAAAATCCTCGATTTACACCATAAACAAATATGTATGGGCGTGTTCAGGCGTTCAATGTGTGGACGCAAAATGCCGGAGAACAATATCGTCCACGATTCCCAGCATACGTCCACGAGTGGGTCATGTACAAAACCTATGGGAGTCTTCCAAAAAATTGGAGTACAAACAAAAGAGGGACAATAGGAACTGATCAGAATCATATTATCGTACGTTCATTGTCGTCGCTAGACCCAAGCAGACGATTGTGGACACTCATGGACAATAATTGCTGCCATTCGTTACGAACCATTTGCTGGAGGCCACAATATTTTCCAGCGGAACAACGATTTAGCCGACAAAAAGATTAATGGGGTAGGGGTAGAGTGTCGACAACACACACCCACGCCCATGCCGACTTACCTTCCATACCTACTGTGGACATTTCTTAGTTAACGTGTAGTTAAGAAAAAACAGAGAAAAATATCATTTCGCTCCCACCGTGACCACTCTTCAACCCAAATTTGTTATCATGATTTCCTTGTATGTTCCTCTTCATTTTGCGACAGATATACCTAACGCAAAAATGCCCTAAAACCTATTTTCGACAGAACGGGAAACATGGTGTGGACGTGTGCAAGTTCACAAAACGTTCACATTTCCTGCACCTTGTGGACCTCTTTTGTTCACATGTCCTCAACGAGTACATGTATATAGAAGGTTAGAGCGCCGCCTACGCGAAATACAGTCAATTCTTTCCTGTGCCATGCTATGTGGAGTGCCGTGGCCTCGTGGTCTGGAGCGTTGAATTCTTGGTTAGCGGGTAATTCGGGCGATTCACAATGCAGTGCGCCGCCAAGAGTTTGCCACGGAAAGGTCATTTTTCCCATTGCATCGTGGGAAATGGTCGACAAATTCGCAGCGCGGGACATTTAAAATCGTTAGTTTTTCCGGTCAGTAGTTTCGTAAGCGTTTGATTCGAGGATCTGTTTGCCCTTTCCTTTTCTTCTTATCACTATGGTGTTTTTTTGTAAGGCGGCAGAATGCTATGCCCTAATCTATATCATATTAGCTCAAATTGTCTACTGACACTCATTCAAATGGGCCATGTTTTGTCGACCGTAAAGTTGAAAAATGGACTCTCCATGGCAAACTCTTGGTGGCGCACTGCATTGTCTGAATCGCCCGAATTCTGCAGGTTGTGGGTTCGAGTCCAGGCTGGCGTTGTGGTGTTTGTGTGCCCTTGGAAAAAGAACTTTGTCACTCATTGTTTCTCCCCAACCAGATGTGGTTGTTGTGCTGATTGCAGCTGCATTTACGAAGCAGAAGTAGAGTAAAAAAGAACGGAATATATATTTTTTTTTGAAAAACGGAATGTACTTTTGAAAATCGATATTGAAAACCGAATGAAATTTTGCAAACCTAACGTGTTTTACGACTCAAATGTATTTCAAAACAGAATGAAATTTAGGTTTGTAAAATCTCATTCGGTTTTGAAATGGATTCGAATCATAAAAACATGTGAGTTTAGTAAAATTTCATTCGGTCTTGAAATGCATTTAAATCATTTAATTCGGTTTTGGGAAATGCATTCGGGTGGTAAAAATACACGTTCTGTTTTAAAACGCATTATATTTAGAAATACGTTCGATTCTCACAATACATTCCGTATTTTCAAAAAAATATGTTCCAATCTTTCTTTTACTCTTTTTCTGCTTCGTAGCTTTGATCCGAAATTGCAGCATCAAGCTGTATACTCCCCGGGGGAGTTGGGATGGTATTTGGTATGGCTAAATTTCCCAATTAGCAGGTTTATGATGTAGCGCTTTCAGCATCAATATTGATGGACACGTGCGTTTAGCACACATTATTATCAGAGTTAATGTATTTGGTTTAATCAGGCATTATCACAAATTGTTAACGCTCTTCGATGAGTAGCGTATTACATGTAATAATTTCTCGCGCAGCTGCTCAAGGTGCAAGCGATCTCCGGCCACGACACTGGAAACGATGTGTTACTTTTTGTCATCGAATTGTCAGTGAATAGCAAATCTATGTCCCAAGCAAAAATCAAGCAAGACTATTTATGAGCACTACATAATTGCATTTCATTTTGGCTCGTGGTCTGATATTTCCTATTAAGCAAATTCATCCCTCGCCCAGCACTTTTCTGTGCTTTTATTTTCTGTCTCCCCCAGCAAAGCCAATGTCTGGAAATTACGAGAAAGACATCGTAGCCAGTCTGCTGAACAATTACGGGTCACGTGTGATCAGGCCCCTAAGGAACTCCTCACAACCAGTGGATGTCACCTTGCGCCTTCTGATTTCGCAGATTGTGGATTTCGTAAGTCCAAATTTTCTCTGATTTCCAGACAATACGATTGTCAATCATTGGGCATCCCTTTTTTTTCCTTTGGTTCTCATTTCCGACCGAACCTATTTTGGGCTTCCGGGTTAAGATATAATATTTTGTTTTTTATTACCGCCGACCCTGTCTGGAACCCAATTAACAAATGAGGGCTCAGCCCTCGCACAAGTGTACAGGTGTGAGGTACATGCGACGTCTACAATATTAATAAAGATAATGGGTAATAAGCCTAGCACTAAATTTTCAAATGGGAGTCAGCCAGCTGACCCCAGCAAGCTCGTTGGCCGAGTGTTAAGACGTCTGCAAAGCAGGAAGCTATGGGTTCGAGTCCCATCCGAGTAGTTTTTTAATCACAATAATTATTCGGTACAATACTGAGTGTAACATAACAGTGCATGAAAAACAAATATCGGTGAAAGGCAAACCCCAATATTGAAAATACGAGCAGTGAATTTATGAACTCGAAATTTCAAAACTGATAGCAAGGAAGACTGGTGTTTTGTTATTGAATTTAAAAAAAAGTAGTTTTACGCCCGGAAATCCCCGAGCTGTTGCGAACATAATCCGAGTGTTAACAAAATGTATTCGGTAAACTCCGTACATTTTTGGAAACGGGCAGGATCCGGCGTCTTTTTGGTCATGTTTATTTTTTAGCCGCGGCGGCTACTTTATTATTATTCTGGTTTATTTAAAACAAAAACACCGAGTCGACAGCCACTAAAATGTCTCTGATAAGACCGGCTTACAATAATATAACATTAATAATACATATAAAACATATAAATAAAAGACATATAAAACATATAAATAAATTCCAATAGGACGAATCGTCAAGTTATTACCAGAAGAAAAACAGGATGTAATTCCTTATTAGTTACTTATCCAGACAGTTTAAAATTAGTTTGTTGTGCGTGGTTGTTAGTGAAATATTTTATGGTTATTAATATTTTATGGTTAAGTTTTTTTCTGTGAACCAATTTGTGAAAATTTTCGACTTTACACTGAATTTGAAACAAAACGTCATTTAATTCGCTAAAGAATGGGAAATGGGAAAATATATAAAAGAAAAGTTGTTAAAGATTCTCTTATTTATACAGCGTTCTCGTTAAGTAATATATCCTGCTTTTCTTCTGGTAATAACTTGACGATTCGTCTTATTGGAATTTCAATGCATCAATACTTATTACTTATCCAGACAGTTTGAAATTAGTTTGTTGTGCGTGGTTGTTAGTGAAATATCTTATGGTTATTTTTTTTTCGATATTTGTCTGAAACAGGATGAGCCGAGACAACAACTGACTGTTAACGCTTGGCAGAAAATGGTACGTGTACATAAGGTAGAGTACCGGTTCCTAGCAAGTGATGCGAGGGGCTAGAAAGGCTGGAGTCGTCCTTTTACCCTGAGACTTATCCCGTTTTTAAACAATATAATGAAAGAGCAATATAAACCGCCATACCGGTGACTTAATGTTTATGTACACACGTGCATTGATATACATTATTCAGTGCAGACTAAAATGTCATGGAATAGTAAGCAGCACCATTGTTTGACTTGTAATAATTAGCTGTTGAAATGAGATAGCAAAGATAACCAAGTACTTCCAATCAGAAGAACACCAAATAGTTTAGTAGAAGAGAAACACGAATTATCTCTATCCATTTTTTGCCCCGAGAACATTGAGCGAAGAATCTCTTCAGAAATTACAAGAGTGATTAACCAATTTCAATTTTCCCTTGAATTTCAAGTCCTGGCGAGATGACTTTCTAGTCTGGAACCCCAACGACTTCGGCGGTCAGGATACTGTGTACGTGTTGGAGTCGGATATTTGGATACCACGAGTCGTGCTACTGGAAAAGTAAGTTCCCCAACCTGTAGCGCCTAGAAACTGTTAGTGTTTGGTCGAACAATAGGTGTTTTTTTGGCAATGACTGATTTATTTCAGGGCTGGTTGTGGTTTTAAAAGAAACATTTAGTAGAGAAGAGAAATGGAAATTTATTTTCCGAAATTGAAGAAGAGTATTGACTATTATAAAATATTCCACATATAATTATTATTTTCATATTCGATAAACAAATATGTAATTGATAGGAGAAATTGACAAATTTTGTAAGGGGTCCCCAAACCACTCCTCTTGTCCCCCCCCCCCCCCCCCCCCCCCCCACTTAAGTTTGGTTGATGGATAACTATATAGGTCTCGGTCAAATTAATCGCAGGGTTTGATACAAAGTTCTTGTTGTAATCTTGATTAAGCCTTGTTTTCACGAGGTTAATATACCTAAGATTGTTGTCTGGCGTTTCCTGTTTTCAGTGTACATTATGAGTTTCCGAGCGTTGATGAGAAGGAATTGATCGTCTCATCAGACGGTACCGTGGTCTGGTACGCGTCCGCCATGTTCCAATTCTCCTGCAAGGTCTACGTCAAGCGCTTTCCATTCGACGTCCAGCACTGTAACATGACTCTCATGGCCTGGTCCTACGACATCTCCGCCCTCAACCTGTCGTACTTTGACGACGAAGACACTAAGCAGTACATCTTCAGCAAGAATGGGGTTTGGAATCTCACTGGCGTTGAGATGACTCGGGTGGAGACGAAATACGCGTGCTGCGAGCACCCCTTCCCGCAGATCATTTACCGTTTGACCTTCCAGAGGGCGTCCTTGGTCTACATCTTTAGCATCTTGATTCCATCCATTCTCCTTGCAATGCTCACCCTGATGGTGTTCTGTATTCCCCCTGAGTCTGGGGAGAAGATCTCACTAGGAATAACCAATCTCCTGGCGTTCGTTCTCTTCCAGCAGCTCATATCGGGCAGCATGCCACCGATTGGTGACGAAACACCCATCCTAAGTAAGTTGGAAACTTATTTGTGCCCGTCCGTTTCACATTTTGCTATAGGTCACTCGTACCCTGCATCCGTGGGCACCGACATTACATCGTTCTTTGTCGACAAGTTTGTGTCGGCATCGTACATTTTAGATATCAACACGTAGATAACTTAAGATGTTTCCAACCAGTAATAAATGAACAAATAACGAGTATTGTCGACGTATCATTGTTCTAAACCACTCCCCCAACACGCACACAAGCCAAACAGGTTTCAGTGATATTAAATGAATGTAACCCCCGAATGTCAGTTTAGAAACGCATGATGTGAAGACCTAAATACTCTTGTAATAGAGCCCTCTCTAGGAATGAAGGGTGCCTGATCCATATAACAGCCTGTTTTTGTCAAATTCCTGTTTTCCATGCAGCCATCTACATTTTCTCCATGGTTGTCATCGGTTGTGCCTCCATCTTTGTCTCCGTCTACGTCCTGTGGCTGTTCCACTCTCCCCCAGAGCGGACCGTCACACGCCGTCTGGTCTCCGCCATGACGTACTTCAGTCATGACCCGAGCAAGAGCAGGGTTACTTGGAAGGCTGTGGCTTGCAAGTTGGACCGGGCCTTGTTGGTTTTGTTCCTGGTGTTGACTCTTATTGTCATACTTGCATCGTGTATTGCACTCGCAGTTGCTAAAGATGGACCCAACTGATTTCATTAAAACCTCTTAATTTTGTGAAATCGCGGCTGCGTCTACAACAGTGGCTTTTGCCTTGGCTCTCGAATTATTTCAAAATCCAAACCAAGATGTAATCCAGACTCTGATCTTGTATTTATAAGTTTGATTTTCCCAAAGCAAACCATGGACTGTATAATTGTATTAATTCGGAGTCCTCAACAAATGATCCAAAATCACCTGGAGCCGAACCGCACACGAAGCCGACCTTTAGAAAACCGCTTAGATGTGAATGTCGGAACATAGTATTTGCAGGTGATTGACATCCATATGAAAAAACATTGACTTAGTAATATTTTATTGACGCAAATAAAGGCAAGTGTGCACAATAATATTCAACTTTAACCCACGTAGTGTAAAGCATTCTTGATGTCTTATTTTTTATGTTTACAGAGCCATCCAGCTGTATAGACTACGCGATCTTTCAAATTTTTTTACATGAATTGGCATTTTCGAGTAGAAGTTGGTAACATAATTATTTTACCTAATGATGGTTCGTAAACAACTATAAGTTTATTATATACTGACAAAAATGTAGACTTAACGGTACAGAACCCTAATCTTGAGCTCCGGAAAATCACTACTTTGCTTTTGGCCGATCAATTATGTATAAATGGTATTAAATCAAATTTATATAATATGTTGTGCTAGCCACTGAGTACAAGTACACTCAGTCTGCTCCTATAATTTTAAATGATACTGATTTTGATCAGGTTAAGGGTACTAAATTTTGGGAATGCATATTGATGAGAATTTATCTTGGAAGAAACATAGAGACAATATAACAGCTAAATTATCAACAAAAAATTAATTATAATGAACCGTCTAACATATCTTCTACCTAGTACCACGTTACTAACCTTGTACAACTCATTTGTTTTACCCTATTTAAATTACTCAAGTCTGACTTGGGGTAGTCCAAATCCTAAATGCAACAAACTGCTTACTCTACAGAAACGAGCAGTTCGAGTAATTTTTAAAACTGTCTTTTGTGAACAAAATTGTTAAAATGCACAGACCTGCATCATCTTAACTTAGGAAAATGTTTGTATAAATATATGAATCGTGCATTACCTGCTTGTTTTAACCTCTGTTTTACACTTACATTAAATATTCATTCCCATAATACCTGCAGTACTACTAGGAAAATCTGTATGTTAATTATAGTAGAACTTCATTGTCCAAAAACAGTGTTGTTCAACGTGGCCTCTATAAAATTATTGGAGTAGTCTGGATGACTCTTTTAAATCATCACCCACTCTCTCTATTTTTGCTAGAAACCTAAAAACTCATTTGTTAATTGCATACTCAAGCATTGTAATAGGGATAATAACGGCCTTGATTACTGTCTTACACCGGTGTCTGTGCTCTGTCTTTTCATGTATGTCTGTCACTTTTCTGTCTGTCCATAAGCTGGGGAACAAACGCTGTTGCTTCACCCCGGACCTAGATGTTGCCATTTAGTTAATGTTCACTATTGTAAATATATCAATGTAAGTATTGACAATTTGAATATATAACATTACGTATTATGTATCATCCTTATGCAGCATCGAAATAATGTATCTAATGAAACAGGATTTGGGGTTCGTTCTAACACAGTCGGTCCCCTACTGCTGCCGTTCCTGGAAAGTGCGGTCAAGCCAATTCAGTCTGTGGAACTTTGGCACTGTGATCCGTGGAATTCCGAGCATAAACAGTCCACTTCTCACGCTGTATGTAGGTTAATGAACGCTAATGAGTCGAGGTACGTTTGGAATGTTCCAGGGGAGGCGGAACGCTTTTCAAATTTGGGAGGGGATATCAAAAAGGGGCACTTCGGTGTGAAAGTGCAAAACCTGCGGCTTTCACGATGACGGATCCAGAACACATTTTTGTTAGGGGGGAGTGAGTCCACAAATTCACAGTGTGGGGTTCGCGGCCTGCTTAAGCGCTCCGAAAAAACTTGATTATAGATGCTCTCTGGTGTGATCTGAAGCAATTGCTGAGCTCTTAAACCATTTTTGGTGAAAATATATAGTGGTGTATGTAGTGGGTGTTTTTGTGACATCATGGGAGGCATGGCCCCGTTGCCCCCCCCCCCCCCCCCCCCCCCCTTTGAATCCGCCCTTAGACCTTCGGCACACCTCACACTCTCTGATCCCGGTGGCAGTAACCTCTCTCGGACCGCCCATGAACTTGACTAGTAATGTAGAGAAACCATTTGTTTTTCGCGAGGGGGGCACTGCTGCTTTTAATGTCCAGCACAGTGACCATATAATTCTCGTGAGGAGGAGTACTATTATTTTTAAAGGCCAATTTTCCATGAGAGGGGCACAATAATGTTGCGAGCGGGGCACTAATAAAATTGTGCTTTCGAGGGGCAGTTGTCTATTTCGAGAAGTTCCCGCGAGATTTACTATTGTTTTAATGGCCAATTCTCCATCTCGAGAGGGGCACAATTTTATTATAGCGAGAGGGGTATTTGTGCTTTTGAGGAGTAGTTTTCCATCTCGAAAAGGTTCACAATCGTGTTAATGCCAGAGGGGCACTTGTGTTTTTGAGGGGCAGTTTGCCATTACAAGAGAGGAGACAATGTTATTTGTAACGCGATCATAATTGCTTTCATGTCTGCGTTTCAGGGGAAGTTGTTTTCATCTCGAGGGGACACGTTTATAACTGCGAGAGGGGCACTTTGTTTGGCCTGGGAAAATCTGCGAGGGAAAGTGCCCTCCCCCCCCCGGTTCCGCCGCGCCCCCGTTATGTTCCGAGTCGCAGTGCCAGACTGCTCATGCCTTGATGTAATGTTATCTTAGTGATAGCTCCCTCTACAGCCGGGCTGCTTGCCAGGGACCGCTGCATCAGCAAAACATGATCCAACACTCCACTCTACATGTGCATGGTCTTGTTGCACAGTGACGAACGTGTACTCCACTCTATTCATGCATTATTTGGACGTAAGCTGCAGTCGTTCAAGTCAAAGAGATGCAGAAATATTTTATTAGTCAATTTGCGTTCATAAAATCTTGATTTGCTCTGTAAGTTATTCATGATGACGTAATAACGTACTGGTACCACTACATATCCTGCATAAATTATGAATGTATAATCATTGTTATCGTCCTTGTATTGTGGTCAAGGATTGGTCATCTTGAGGGATATATTAACCTGGCTATTTCTCGGTAATCTTGAAAGCTTTTCCTCAGTGCTAATATTTTACCATTTGCTAAAAAGTGTTGGGGGTTGCCGATTCAGGGAACACCAATGCAATATACTTCTTCCTCCACTTGTCAGTGCTACTGAATGCATTTTGATTTTGGAAGTTCGACAATTAAGTTTGGTTTGGAAGTTCGATGATTAAGTAACCCATCCCCCGGTCAAAAAGTGGAGAAGGGGGTATATAGCCCCTTTACCCCACCCGGGATATACGCCCCTGGTCGAGTCCCTCAATATAACCCATGATAATAAGTGAATAATATTAAAGTGAATAAAGAATGTACTCGGTCAAGATTGCTGTCTCGACAACCCCAATGGATCATATGGGCTCTTAGTTATATATTTGTGTCGACAAGGGGAGTTGGAAATGGCATTTGAATATTCAAATCCTTACTCTGCACAACCTTCAAATAACGCAATGAGCCAAACGAACATTTAACATGGTACTATGTATGCAAATCTTAACCAGCCAGTTCTGCTATTAAGTAGGCCTACTTGATAATGTATATCACGTGTAGGCCTACAATAAAACAAAATTAAAAAATAGAGCAAACCTCGTTTCGCTTACCGCGAAAGTAACCTTTAGTAGTTTTCAGATCGCGTTAAACCTGTTTGAGGATAGTAAAAGTTGTTTTCGAATTTTTGAAGAATAGTTTTCTCTTGTTCGTATTGGTTGTTCTAACTGTGAGATTTTAACTAGGCACGAAGGATTTCAAGGTTGAGTGAAGATAATACGAAGTGCCAACAAACGGCATAAAAGGTCCTGTGGTTTGGCTTTTTTTGTATTGGCCATTTATGTTTCGTAATAGTTTCAAGATGGTCCTGGTTGAATTCAAGTGCAATGCAAACACTACAAACTCCCGTGCCTTTTGTTAACAGCCAACTAGACAAGCTTTGCTGAAAAAGCAGTCAGTCACTGCAAAGTGTACAATTCGCTCTTTTCACACTCGGCCTTTAGGCATGCATCGAAATGGCAATTGTACTCAATAAAAATAGCCGGTTCAGTGATCTGAACCCCGACACGGAAATCACTGAACCGGCTATATCTATTGTGTAAAGTTGCCAGATCGAGGCTCATCATGCCCATGGCGGAAGTGTGAAAAGAGCGAATGGTAGTTTTCCTCTATGAAACACCGCATTTTATTCAGGACTACATGCTGCCCACCATTCGTACATTTCTACAAATAAATCCTGCCCAAACTTCATACAGTTTAGCGTGAGAGCTTACGTAGGTGTAGATCTATCATGACTCCATTGGCCCATCATTACCATAAAATGCACGTTCTGCACGAATGCTCATCTGCATTGATGGCTTGCTATTGGTATCGTTTCGGTTTGCGGTAACACCATGTGGTAATAACTACTGCTTAGAAGATATTAGTTCTGAGAAGAACTTGTCCTGCTTATTATCAACTTTGCTAAGTAGTTTTTTGTTCTGTTAAGAACAGTCCTGCTGTAAGTTCTAAAAGAACTTGTCTTTGGTCTCAACGTTTCGACTAGCCTGCTCTAGTCATCGTCAGGAGACTGAAGATAGTTGGAGATGCTACTCCTTAAGTAGGATTTGTTAGGATTAGGAGTGCTTGCTGGGCATGCCCTGCTCGCTCGGGTGTGTCAGTTGGCTGTAAGCCATGGGCATTGTGTTGAGGGATGCCCGCTGAGCGTCCTGCTCGCTCGACTGTGTCGGGCTTGCTATTATTAGCATACTCAACCATTACATACCGTCAGGGTGACCGTTTTAGCCGATTTTCGGCTAACTTTGCAGATTTGTTTTAAAAACGAGTTTGACAGAAAATATGACAGAATGGATTTTTTGGGCAGATTTCTGACAGAATTCTGCAAAAATGGATAGTTGACAGAACAACAGTAAATCTGAAGAAATATGGTACATTTGTTGAATAAAAAGCTTCAATCTTTTCAAACAAACCCTTGCATAATGGGTCAGATTGGCTTGTCTAGGTGCTGAGGTTCACGATTCCGGACTTTCAAGTCGTGATGCAACCTTGGTTTGCCTGAAATTTACGCAATTTCATATCATCTTTATGTTACTTTAGATTGTTTATAATGCAATTTGAACCTTAATTA